ACAAACAAATTAAATCAGTGCAGTTATCTATCAACAGCGGCTGTCCCTCAAAACATATCGAACATATTCACCATCGCGGTTTGCCTGTTTGGAAAGTGTTTGAGTTGGCAGCCATCTCAGACATTGAACATAAAATCAATAAAAGAGTTGATAAAGATAAAATATATTGTGAATAGACAAACAGATTGAAGGAAAACAACAATAAATACGGCGTTAATACCGACCTGCAGCAAAAGATCGCCTTCAGGAATCTTGCTCTCCACAGCTCCTCCTGTTTTGCTGTCGTCATCATTCGCACTGGCTGAAGTCGCTCCGTTCCGACTGTTCAGGGTGACTGTGGAGAGGGACAGACAGGGAGGAAGGGTGGTGGTGGAGTTGGGGAGAGGCAGACAGGTTTTAGTCCAGTGATAATGTTTGCAAAGCACTGCTGTGACTGTCAGACTGCCTTATGTTTAGTCCGCTAAAGATGCTGCATGCACGCCCGATCCCAGCTCATCAAACATTCATTACCTGTAATCTGAAAGTCTAATTCAACCAAACTCAACCTTTTATTTTTTTCTAACCTGCTCACATCATGATTTATAAGACATCAGCACATATACACCACAACAGAAAAACACATTTGTTGTTTTTTCAGTCTGTGCTATTCAATTTCAAGACTGCAGTGTATATGCTCAGACTGACTGAAGTGAGGGGATATTAATCTTCGTAACATGAAATATCAGGAAATGTAGTGGTGTTGAGGATGTTAAACAATTTTGAGAATCAATTAATGATTTGGACTGTTGATTGAACAAAACAAGTCATGTGAAGATGTTTTAGGCAATTCTAAGACATTTAGACGTTTTTAGACCAAACAATCAATGAATATAGAGAATAATCAGCAGATTAATAAATAATGAAAATAACTGGTTGGTGCAGCCCAAAGAAACCCCACCTCTCTTAACCCCAATGCCTTGTATGGGGTAAAAAGCATTGAACATGCAATATAATGGATTTTCAATTTAGAATTCGGTTTTTGGAGTAACATAACATTTTGTTCATAAGAGGACTTCTCTGATGGCAAACAGACCTTTGTTCATGCACAGTCCATGCTATAAATAAACACTGTAAAAACAAAATCAGTTTTATCAAGAATCAAGTTTTAAGTCAAACTCAAACTTTTAGGTTGTGTGAACCTATAATCTTTTGTTGGAGTAATCTACTTGTCTTCATTAGAAAAAATATTAACTGACTTTTAGAAACAAAAAATTCTGTATTTCAATAATTGAATTCACAGTGAGCTGTGAACCCAGTTTTCATTATTTGGGTGCTTGAAAATTAAATAGGTGCAACTGAAAACATTTAATGATTAACCGTTTTTGACTTTTTTTTGTTTCTAAAAAAATTGTTTTTAAAGAAGAAAATAATCAATTATCATCAGTTTATTTAAAAACGTAACAGTTTTTTAGTTTTATAACTAATTAAATTAAATTACTTAAATTATGAGTTTTCTCAACTTTTGTTTTAACAGTGAATACTCAAATGTGTAACCCCCCACACTATAAAACCAGATAAGTTAATTTTACTTAAACATTTTTTGAAAGTGATTAAAGGTAGCTTTTATTTGTACAGTGAAAACAGAACACCTTGTAAAAAGTATTTAGTCAAGAATGTTTTTTAAAATTGTAGTCTTCCTTTTCAACAATTCTTTGATTATCACTTGGGTTATCACTTCAATCAATTTCTACTAATTGGGTTTTAATCAGGTTAGAGGAAACTAAAATATATATTTGAAGGAAAATAATTGGCATATTACTATATCTACACATACGTCAACATGTCAACAAAACACAAATCAATCAATTTAAGACTTCAGGAAAGAATAAGGCCAAACATTCTTTTAGGTGTGTTTGTGTGTGTAAGAAAGAGAGCGGAGCTGTTGGATAAAAGCTTCCTGTCTTTGCCAGCAATGCATTGTTGCCACGATTGAGTGAGATGAGGTGACAGTTCCTTCTGGTGTCACTGTGTTTGCACTCTACTGCTTGCTCAGCTCAGCTCAGCTCAACCCCACCCCCCAGATCCCAGCTGCTCATTGGCTGATGGATCTAGCTGTTCTCGTCCAAATGGGATTCTCCTTTTTTTCCCAGAGATCATAACTTTTATTTCTTCCATTCATCCAGCTCTGATGCTCAAGGCGTGTGTGTGTGTGTGTGTGTGTGTGTGGAAGTAATTTGTTTGATTATGGCTAGTGGCCCCACATGAACTTCACAACTTGTACAAGAAAATACAATATTATATTTATATTTCCTATTTCTGCTCAAGTCTTTCTATAATAGTCTTTGTTTCATTTGACCTGTTTCTTTAACAATTACATTTTCTATTAACATAATGAAGAAATGTTGTTTATTGTTGTTCATAAATAATAATTATACAAATAATATAAAATATTATATAATAGAATTAACATGTCCCAAATATTGATTCAATATCTGCTTGTAGTGACTACAGCCTAATTCAACTTTTATGGTTATGTTTAGGCACATGGCAGCAGTTTTGGTTTAATATAGAAAGTCTGCAGTTATTTAAAGGTCCAGTGTGTAACATTTAGGAGGATCTATTGACAAAAATGGAATATAATATTCATAGGTATGTTTTCTTTAGTGTGCAATCACCTGAAAATAAGAATAGTTGTATTTTAGTTACCTTAGAATTTTTATCTACAGAGGGAGCGGTTTCTCTTCCACGCAGTGCGCTAATTGTCACATTTTTACGTGTTCTAGGTAGTTCGTATTAAGGTTTTACATGATGTATCTTCAAACTGCAATTAGAACATAGCACAGGACACTTTGATTGAAAATACAGCATGTAATGTCCTAGGCACGAAAAGGATGGGACTTAATATGGCTTTGTACATACATGTAGCTCTTATCTGAGTAGACAACTTTGAGTATTCAGTCAGACTAAAAAGCTGTTTGAATCACTTTAACTGTATAATAGAATATTTCAAAAATGTTTGACTGTCTGAAAACATCAATAGCTGACAACAGATCATCATTTTATCAATGATGATAGGATAAATTGTTAGTTGCAGCTGACATTGTTTGTTATTTCCATAACCTGAGACTATGAGCTGTGGTGATGTCATGAGAAAGAGAGCAGCGGTCAAGCACATTAATCTCTGACCCCTGCAGGAGCACTGTGCTGCGACCCACGATGACCTTTGACCCTGAAGGTGATGTACGACATGATTGGGTGACTGGGTTCTGGGTCAGGTCTTTTGTTGTCTGCAAATGGGGTTAACAAGGAGTCCATCTGAGGGGCGGGGCGGTGTTAGGAGTGTCAAAGCAGACACTGGATAGCATATGGGCTTTGTGTGGGGAGTCTGACGTGGCTTCTACCATCACACGAGACAGAGCTTTGCTTGGACACCCCTGACCTTATTCCCATACAGACATGCTGGATCGACTTCTAGAGGGCCACTAAGAACAATGTGTGACATAATCCAACATACTGGTGGGGAAATGGCGTTGGCAATGGTTCGCGTATGTTAGATACGCTAGAGTGTGGCGTTCTTGTCCCATAAAGAAATGCAAAAGCCACTCACAGCTGGAACAAAATGACAACAGATTGACACAGCTTCTATACCCATGGCATCGTCCCTCCAGTCTAACGCCAACTAGTGCTGAAACCTAAGTCAATTAATGTATTGGTCAAAAGTTTACCATAAAATGATCCCACAGCAATACTTATAATGGCATTATGTCATTTATCAAGCAATATACCAATAACCAATACCAATAATTTGCTTCTTAAATGCACCATTGGTCAGATAAAATGTGTAAATTGAAGGTAACCTCGGGCTCTAGGAAATAATAAAGGGCCTTTTTCACACTTCATAGCCCTAAAAATAAGAATAGTAAACATGTAAAAAGGGCCCTTTTAAAAGTATATAACTAACTAATAACTAATTTAGTAATAATCAGTTAGAAAATTATTTTAATTGAGCTTTGTTCAAGCTTTCCTATTTGAAATCACTTTTGCAGTTGCTGTTGAATTTATGTTTATTCCTGCTTGCACCCATTAATGTTATAGTATGTACATTTTCTTTGGGCACTGTCAACAATGCATTGTCAAACTGTGTATTTTATGGTAGCCTAGTAACATTTAGTATCAATATAATGCCAAAAAAAATAATAAAAACAAAAAGTTGCATTCATGTCAAATTTGTAAGGAAGACCGGAAAGGTCAAAGAGAAGTTATGCAACTCCCTTTTTTTGTTTTCATTTTTGATCAAAAAATAATCTCATCTCATTTTCATAACGTTTTCCTCACTTGTGATCCCAAAACAATTACGTCTTGATCACAAAATCCCCAAATTATTACTTTGTGATTGTGTTGTAACAAGCTTTATTTTGTTTTCTTGTGACTATTGTAAAAACATTTGTGAGACTTTGGGGTGATCATTATCAGAAATAAATCAGAAATGTATACATGTGTTATCTGACTGTTTCCTACCACAGACAACAGGCAGATGGTTTTTATCTTGTGATCACAACAACACAGCTTTGGTTCATGTAAAGATCAAACTGTTTTATCATCTCCAGAAAACAAAGATCATGGTATGATGATTGTGGGATCATTGCTTCCTGATCATGAGAAAGGGCTGTAACACTAAGATCATAAGAAAATCTTCGAAACATACAGCGCTCTCAAAACATCTGTTTATTCTTTGAAAACATTTTGGGGCACTACCTTTATGACAGCATCTGTGTTGTTTGTCTTTGTTCACACATCAGAAACCACAGGTACGCAGCAGCGTCAGCAGCATAATCCTACCAGAACAAAAAGTGGGCCAACACAAAGCCTCTTGAATGGCCAGAGGAGGACAAAGAGCAGCTCTTGTTATCAAGCTTCAGTAGGCACAAGTGTACATAATGAAAAATTTATATTCCACTGCCATCACATACATGTGGCATAATAGCACTCCAGCAATCACCCAGAGGCGTTTCCAGTGAATTGAATAGAACAGCTTGGCTTTCCCAAACATGCTTGTCTTCGCATAATGGAGCTCCCAACTTACAAAACCACAAACAGTGGAGGGTGAGTCCAAAAACTCCCATAAAAAATGACTCAAATAAAATTAAAATTACATAAAATTACCTTTTGTTTTAAAATAGGGTAGTGTCGGCTAAGGTCATTTTATGCAAGTCCATGCCAAGTTTTAAGTCTTTGGTTAAAAGACCAGTCTGTGGGATTTAGTGGCATCTAGTGGTGATGTTGCAGATTGCAACTAACTGAACATTAATGGCGTCTGTATTTGAACACCTGGGAATGAGAACAGGCTGTGAAGCG